AGCTATAATAGGGCCGTTTAGAAAAGGGGCATGGTCAGGTGCATGCAAAAGCCTATATCTCCAAAACAAAAACTCAGAACTTCACAAAACTAGGTGAGCACATGTCAAGTCACCTTTATTTATATAGTGCTTTTAACATTACAGATTGTGTCAAAGCAATTGTAAAGCATTAATTAGGAAAATATTGTGCAATATGATAATAGTAAACACTCAATTTTCAGTTAAAGGCAGTTCATCATTGAATTCAGTGATGTTATCATCCAGCTCAGTTCAGTTTAAACAATACATTGTATGGGTCAAAATTATCCATTTTTCATTTATGCCAAAAATCATTAGGATATTAAGTAAAGATCATGTTTCATGAAGATATTTTGTAAATGTCCTACCGTAAATATATCAAAACTTAATTTTTGATTAGTAATATGCATTGCTAAGAACTTATATATTTATAGTAAACTTACTATTTAGATTTTTTTGCACCCTCAGATTCCAGATTTTCAAATAGTTGTATCTCGGCCAAATATTGTCCTATCCTAACAAAGATGGAATCATCTTTCATCACATCAATGGAAGGCTTATTTATTCAGCTTTCAGATGGTGTATAAATCTCAATAAAAAAAAATTGACCCTTATGACTGGTTTTGTGGTCCAGGGTCACATATATCACGTCTGAGACTCACGCTTTGATGTGTCTTCATATTTTACAGTAATGACATCACTCTGTCTTTGATTGACAGGGACGGCTGTACAAGAAGAGTTGTATTTTGGGTAGAGTTCTGATTGGCTACGGAGGTTCTGAGGCGGGAAACCAGCACTGGAGTGAGATGTGCAGCAGGCCGCAGGTGGAGACAGCGTGCTGGCATGAACTCCAAACAAACTCCTTATAGGCCGGCAAAGCTTGATTGACATGCCCCTGAACCAATCAGATCGCTCACTGCTATGCTTCTCATTTTTTCATAGATTTTTGGATGGAACTGTGAAACCTTTGAGGAAAGTTTGTGTTGAATTTGTTTGCAAATATCTCTAAGGTTACGGCATCATTGCAGGGTGTCTTTATGACTCATTAACAAAAACATCAGATGTTGCTTTTGCACTAGTGAACTGATCAGTGTTGTTGCTGCTGTTAACTGAAACAAGTTTTTGGTAACTGAAATAAATTCAATTCACATTTACATTTAATCGTTTAGCAGACGCTTTTATCCAAAGAAATAGATCCAAAGACAATAGAAGCAATCAGACGAACGAGAGAGCAACAATATACAAGTGCTGTGACAAGTCTCAGTTAGTCTAGCACAGTACATATAGCTAGGTTTTTTTAAATAGAATAGAATAGAATATGTACTGTAAGTGCTAGTATTAGTTCGTCAGGTGCTGGCGAAAAAGTTGTGTCTTTAGATATTTTTTGAAAATGGCCAGAGACTGGCTGTTCGAATTGAAATAAGGAGGTCATTCCAGCAGCTGGGCACAGTCCAGAAAAAGGTCTGTGAGAGTGATTTTGTGCCTCTTTGGGATGGCACCACAAGGCACCGTTCACTTGCAGAACGCAAGCTTCTGGAGGGCGCATAAGTTTGAACTAGCGAGTTTAGGTATATTGGTGCAGCACCAGTGGTTGTCTTGTAGGCAAGCATCAGTACCTTGAATTTGATGCGAGCAGCTATTGGTAGCCAGTGTAACCTGATGAGGAGAGGAGTAACGTGAGCTTTTTTCGGCTTGTTAAAGACAACTCTCGCTGCTGCATTCTGGATCAGTTGCAGAGGCTTGATAGTACATGCAGGAAGGCCAAGAGAGCATTACAATAGTCCAGTCTGGAGAGAACAATAGCTTGGACAAGGAGTTGTGCAGCTTGCTCTGATAGGAAGGGTCTAATCTTCCTAATGTTGTATAAGGCAAATCTGCAGGAACGGGCCATTGTAGCAATATGGTCTGTGAAGATTAACTGATCGTCGATCACAACTCCTAGGTTTCTGGCTGTCCTGGAAGGAGTTATGGTTGATGAACCCAGCTGTATAGAGCAGTTGTGATGAAACGATGGGTTTGCTGGAACCACAAGCAGTTCTGTCTTAGGAAGGTTGAGTTGAAGGTGATGGTCCTTCATCCAGCTAGAAATGTCTCTCAGACAGGCTGCAATGCGAACAGCTACCGTCGGATCATCTGGTTTGAATGAGAAGTAGAGTTGAGTGTCATCAGCATAGCAGTGATAAGAAAAGCCATGCTTCTGAATGACAGATCCTAAAGATGACATGTAGATGGAGAAGAGAAGAGGTCCAAGCACTGAGCCTTGAGGAACCCCAGTAGCAAGAAGTTGTGGCTTAGAAACCTCACCCCTCCAAGACACCCTGAAAGACCTACCTGAGAGGTAGGGCTTGAACCACAGGAGTGCAGTTCCTGAGATGCCCATCTTTCTGAGGGTGGACAGGAGGATCTGGTGGTTAACTGTGTCAAAAGCAGCAGACAGATCCAGCAAGATGGATACATTTATTTGTTAAGCGCTTTAATTCAATTCAATTCATGTTTATTTGTATTTTCATGATACAAATTGCTGCAAAGCAGCTTCACAGAAAATTGAAATCTCTACATTACATTTAGGAGTAGCTTATCTAAATTAAAATTAAAATACATATAAAATAAAATAAAAAATATAGGATAGAAAACTGAAACATACATTTTTTTAAATTAAAAATGTTACTAAAACAGGAATGAAAATAAATTAAAGTTAATAAAAAGCTTAAAAAAATAATAAAAATGGCAAAAGCACATAAAATTATTACAACTTTAAAAATTAAAAATAAAAGAAAGCAATACAAAAAGATGATACGTAATATAATATTTAGTGCTGTCAAATGATTAATTGCGATTAATCACATCCAAAATAAACGTTTTTGTTTGCATAATATATGTGTGTGTGCTGTGTATATTTATTATGTATATATAAATACACACACATGCATGTATATATTTAAGAAAAATATGTAATATTTGTATATTAAATATATTTATATATAATATAAATTATATAAATATATACATTAAACGTAAATATTTTCAAAATCTATACTGTATGAATGTATATTTATATATGCATAATAAATATACACAGTACACACACATATATTATGTAAACTAAAACTTTTATTTTGGATGCGATTAATTGTTTGACAGCACTAATAATATTATATAAATAATACTAAAATAACACTAAGCGTTGTTTAGAGCTACTGTAATTGTTATGATTGTAGTGATATTAATGTTATCATTCAAAATGCAAATTTGACACATTATTTTGTGGTGTTTGTGTCATTGTGCTGCTTGCACGGTCCTGCTTTCATGCTTGCTTCACCAGTTTATATCTTTATTCCTGACGTTATATAATACATCAAATGAAGGTGATGGTTTGAAAGACGAGCCAGATTTACCAGGACTCCTGTAAGCTAAACGAAACCAACCTCTGTCAGTGTTTTAGTGTTAGTTTCACCTGTTGATCTGGTCTGGAGCTGCAGTCAAACTAGAGATCTGTAATGTTGAAATGTGAGATTTAGAGCCAATGCAAAATGCAACCAAATGTTAATGATGTGGTTAGGAAGAATTATGAATTTCAGAATCCACTGGGTTTGCAAATCCAGCTATTTTTAAACCCCAAATACTCACTGAAGTGTAAACGAAACCCACAGACTGTATTTTAATTCAATTCCATGCAGCAGAACGGCTTTATTATGCAGCTGAAATGTGTCTGTGTCTTTTTCTCTGGATTTTTTTTTTTCTGCATTGGGTCAATAATATTTCAGTGTGCAGATGGAAGGTTCGTTGTTTTCAGATGAATTCAAATTAACACACACTAATACGAACACAGAAGGGACATGATTTATGATAATATATGTAATATATAAAGTTAAAGCTGCAGTCTGTAACTTTTTTGTGTTTATTAAATGTATTAAATTTATATAATAAGCGAGTACACCATGAATCCATTTTCCAAACCGTGTTTTTGGCTTGTCCACAAATATATGTAATATATAAAGATAATATATAAAGTTGCTGAGGTTCAAAATAAATATGGAAGACTGATGAAATATACGTAATTTATATATTTATGCTGAAGTACTTCTCTTACAATCACTACTGTGGTGGTGTATTTTTGTTTGGCTCATGTAGGTTTCACAATAACTGCACTGATGTGGAACCAAAATGTCCTTTTCAGATGATGATGATGATGATGATGATGATGAACATTTGAACTGTAGCCAAAGAACAAGTCAGTAATTTATTTTAATCTTTAGATCTAATCTCAGCGCTGCCCTCTGGAGGTTGGAGGAATTACATCTCCAGCATTATGTGGAAGTCTTGTAATGCAAACTAAATCATTTTAAAGTTGCACCATGTAATTTTTGTTTCCCTTTTCCTCGACTCAAAGTATTGGATAACTTCTCAACTTTAAGTCGGAAAAAAGTTGTTTGATGCACCTTTAAATTAAAAATGGCATCTGTTTGTTAACAGTTTTTTTTTAAAGCATGTTGCGTCATTATGGACATTTGTTACAGATGTAATTGATTAAAATAGTCTGATTTACAACTGCGCAAAACTTGTGGCTTTGATTCTAAATGCTGCATCAGCGCCACCTAAAACATAGTCAATCAGAAATAGTTCACTTGAAAATTAAGATTAGAGATTAGGATGAGTTTGTTTCTTCATCAGGTTTGGAGAAATGTAGCATTGCACCAGTGTCTCAGCAATGGATGCTCTGCAGTGAATGAGAGTCCAAA